GGCGCAACCAGTAAGGACACAGAACTTTAAGTTGGCTGCAGCCACTAAAGTGTGAGTTCGATCCCGGCCCCAGAGGTGACCCACATGGTACGGCAGACCTCTCCTGCCTGCCTGCTGCCCCCCTCAGCAGTGTACTTTGTCGATTTGCCTATTCTGCTCCCCACTCTGTCTCTGGTGAATCCTCTCACCACCCCTGCACCTCTGGCTTGTACCTCAGGTCTGTATGCATAAATAAATCTTTTTTTTTTTTTTTTAAAGGTACTTGAGAGGTCCTCTGAATAGTTATTGTTCTATTCTTTTACTTGCAGTGGATTGTTTATGTATTGAGTTGGTAAATTTTTTTTTTTCTGTGTTTGCTGGCAGGACTTTTTTACAGTCTCACATTTGTGTTGAAGGAGTGTTTCTCCCCAAATTTTCATTCCCCTGTCTGCCTTGGGTTCTAGGATTCTCAATGACTTATAAACATATTTTGTGAGAATTTCTTGACTTGAGGATGTTGGACCACGCTGATGTTATATAATTTTAAATTCTATAGTTGAGTGGGAGAGGACAAGTACACTTGGGAATACAGATGTTCATTTTATAGATAAATTTGTAGGTACCCTTCTCCAGACTCACTTCAAGGCAGACAAGTGTTCTTATCAGTTTCAAGATGTGTATATACATACATTTATAGATATACATATACTTAATTTTTTAATAGACTGTCTTCTTACTAATGGGGTGTAGACTGTCACTCTCTCTGCTTTATTCTAGGTAAAGAGTGAGATGGGGAGGAAAAGTGTATTTCAATTCTTTTCTCATGTCTTGGTGGGTATGTCTTTTCTTTTTAAATAACACCGAAATTCAGTCCTCCTCCCATTTTTAAATATCTTTGATTGTACAAAGACTTTTATATTATTGTGTTAGCCACATTGGTGGAAATAGAAATCCTATTGTATTCTCTAAAGGTGCAGTGCCTGTAGGGGCTTTGGGCTCCTCGGTGGTGGGTGTGTTGTGGTGACATGCATTTCAGGGAATGTGATCCTATACCTTTGGGTCACATATAGTGGTAAACCAATGTTATATCAAAAAAAAATCATAGTACTGTGTGTATTAATTGCCATTTTTCTACACCTTTATTGTTTACTGTATATTTATGTGATGTTGTGAACAATTACTTTGGTCTTTACTTGTTCTTTAAACAGGTACTTATAAAGTAGGTAATTGGCATCAATTATTGTGTTCTTTATGCCTGAATGCAGAGATGAGAAAGTTGTTTTCTGTTGTGCTTTGCTTTTTGTTGTTGTTGTTGTTTTAAAGATTTATTTATTTATTCATACAGAACTGGGGTACAGGCCAGAAGCTCAGGGGCGGTGAGCGGCTTCACCAGAGACAGAGTGGGGAGCAGAACAGGCAGATCGACGAAGTACACTGCTGAGGGAAGCAGCAGGCAGGTCAGGAGAGGTCTGCCTCGCCATGTGGTCTCCTCCGGGGCAGGCGGCAGGCGGCAGGCGGGAATCGAACTCATGCGGAAGTGGCTTCAGATTCTCAGTGCTGTGCTTTAACCCGCTGCGCCGCCAGGGAGGGCCCAAGAATGTTTTTTAAAATGATTGTTTTTGTGTAGTATTTGTAATGGTGATGACAAAAATTATATTGGAAAACAGAAGGTTAACTACTATTATGAAATAAGATGCTATAACACTGAGAAATTGTCATTTTTACCCCTTCTTCATTCATTAAACAAAATTAGTGTCTTTAGAAGTTTCAGAAGAAAGTGAAATAATGAATTTAAAGAAGAGATATTGTGATGCTGATATCATTATGAATAATGTGCCGTTCATAGCACTAGGAAAAGCATATTAAAGCATATATTTAATTTGTTAGTTTAAACTTCTGTGTATGTAAAGCACAGAAAGGTCCTGAATTACTACCTACTCAAGTGTAACCCATGTCTCTGTCTTTTAGGACTTGTGGTGTTTTTTGGTATCACATGAGTCTTTTTCTATGTCGGCAGTATTAAATTATTTTGAGATGCAATGTATTTGCAAGGAGTTAGCCTATAAAGAAAATAAGGTGCTCTTAATGTAGCCTTTGTTGTGCCTTTTTGTTGTTGTTTTTTACACTTAATGAATTTAATATGACGTTAATTTTCATGGCATATTTCAATGATATTTTGATTAAAAGTAGGCAGAGAGGGCCCTCCCTGGTGGTACAACAGCTGAGGAACAAGCTAGCCACGGCTGCTTCTGTGGAGTTCGACCTCCCGCCCGCTGCTCCCCTCAGCAGTGCTCTTCGGCAGTCAGCCTGTTCTGCTCCCCACGTGTCTCTGATGAAGCCTCTCACCACCCCTGCACCTTTGGCCTGTACCCCAGTTCTGTATGCATAAATAAATAAATCTTTAAAAAAAAAAAGTAGGCAGGGAAACCTTGGTTCTTTACTGTAATATATTATGATTTACTAATGTTTATTCCTGGTCTGTATTTTCTCTTTTTCAGTAAATAATAGTAATAAAATTGTTTGGTGTATAAAATAGATTGGATAAATTTCTTTTAATATTTAAAGTATTTTTCTTAACACTAGGGGGCACTCCTGATCTGTGAATTCATATCTAAATTAATCTATAATTAGGATGCATAGTAAAATAAATCAATTATAAACTGAATATTGATGTCAGAGAGAATTTGGACCAAAGCTTATTTTTTTATAGCAGTGTAAAATATAAGTTGATTTTAATATAGTGTCATCAGGATATTAAAGCGGTAAAATGAAGCAGATTGGAGGAAATTAAAATACCTCTATTTGCTTTCATGTTGACTTTTTACAAATGGGTTTTAAATAGTGTTAAAATCCATAATTTCTAATATTTTATCATTTTAAAAATTCTAGTAGTGTTTTGGACTTAGCAGGTAGTATGTATCCTTAGCATTAGGATGTATCTGAAGAAATGAAGATAAATTTAAGATGTGACTGCAGCTGCTATCATTAATAATGGCATTTTAGACACTTGAAAATCAAGAACACATTTTCTACATCTAGAGTGTTTACAGTTTGGATTTTGGTGATGCCCACCAAAATGTACTTTGCCAAAGGTGTATTTCTAAGGTTCTTGTCTTTTTTAATTAAAATACTCTATTAAATTTAAACTTTATTTGTAGACAGTTGACAAAATTTGCATCTGTGTTTGGGCTTGGTCATTGGGGTACTCAGGATCCCCTGAGAAAGTTTTCGGCATATTTTCCTGTTCTGCAGCACACAACCAGTTTATGAAGGAAAAGGACATTTGCATAGACACTAATAGGCCATGGCTGTATTTTAAAAAGGCAACTTGTTAGTATAAAAGACATGCCTGCACAGACAGAGGGGCAGAAAGCTGCATTTGACAGGGACAGATTTATTAGGGAAAAGACCCAGATGCTGGTGGTAGTCTTGGTACAAGATCTGCATTTTGCCAGAGCAAGGGGTGTTCTTTTATAGTGTTCTTTGGGAAATTCATTCATATGGAATTTTGTGGTTTGGGATTAAGTTTGTTTTTTTAATAACAGTTAGATCTTCTCCCCCCCCCCCCCCATCTTAGATTCTTGGAAACTCCCATAGCTGGTTTAATGACTGGCTTTAATTATCCCTACCCGCACCTCTGGTTTTGTACTTATTAGACCTTCGTCCCTAAATCTTTCTACTGTAAACTTCCACCATCACTATGTGTCAGCACTGGTTGCTTGCATGTATTAGTTCACCTCTTTTCTCCACATCTTTATGAAGTAGGTACTTATTATTTATGTTTTATTGACAAGGAAACTGAGTATGGATAATTTAAACAGCATGCACAAATCAAACTTGGGCAGTCTTGTTTCGGAATTTCTTTTAAGTCACTGTCTCTATTGCTTCTTCAGAAAGAGGAAATGTACTATTAAGGAAATTATTACTGACATTTTCAAACTCAGTTTCTAAAGTGAATATAGTTTAAATTACCTAATTTATATAGGTACTTATTTCTCCTATAAAAAAATAATAGAAATTTGAAGTTGGAAAAGGACCTTAAAATCCATTTACTCCTGTCATTTTATAGAGACATGCCAACCAAATGGTTGAAGTTACTTAGATAGCACATCAGGGTATCTGTAGAAAGAGCTTGGACCTCAAGTAAATGATTGTCTCCTAGGAAAGCAGAAAAAGCATGGCATTGTATTTGACTAAACTTATGGGTAGCTTTAATTTTCTTCTTGGTTCTCAGTGGACCAGCATTTTTCAGAGGCTCTGTGGCTGTGTGTTATCTTGAGTATATCATTATCTTCCTTAATTAATCTAATATTTGTGAAAATCAGTGAGGTAAAGGATTGAACATACCACATATTGTATTTTATGACATGTTCTTTTATTTTTAATTCTTTTATTTTTAATTATTTGTAATACCTCTGTAAATTACATTGCCAGGAAAGGTAAACTTCAGTATTGTTGGTTAAGGGGTGACTAACGTGTATAAGAACTCATTGTTTTATGCCAGGTGTTAACTTCCCAATTTTTAAAAATATTTTTATTTACTCAAAATTGTAAGTTTTTTTAATTTTCCTCACAAGTGAGGAAAGTATGTTTTTGCTTTGCTGCTGAAGAACGTAATAGCAATATGTGCTGGATACTGTCCATTATTTCTGGTAATTTAAGTAAAAGTCATTGGAAAATAGCATATAGATTTGTCTTCAAACTGGATTTAGTGTTTTAACTGAAATAAAAGTAGAGTTTGGCCCTTCTTGGTGGCACAGCAGGTTGGAGTGCTGCACTGCAAAGCTAAGCCAAGCTGTGACTGCTTCAGAGTCCAGTCCCCACCTGGGAGGTGATCCATACACCATCCCTGCACCTCTGGCCTATACCCCATTTCTGTATGCACAAATAAATAAAATCTTTTTTTAAAAAAATGTAGAGTTCATGCAAAATGGAAATATTTCTAACCATGATGGTGGCATGGATTTATTTTCTTAAACCTTCAAAAGATATATTTAAAACTTTCTGTTTATTTTTTACAGGAAGAATGTATTTGCGATCTTGGACGTGAAGCCACCAGTCTTCTGTTACTGTTAACACAGGCGTGGGGACTGATGTGGGAAGCATGGACCTGATGAACGGGCAGGCTAGCAGTGTTAATATTGCTGCTACTGCTTCGGAGGTGAGGCGTTCAGGAACTTAGTTGTAAAGTTTCTTACGTGGCGTTCTTATTCTTCAAGGATTATGGTTGGTCATAGATTTATGTCAGATCTTCAGAAAAAGGGTCGCAGATTTTTTAATTTTAAAAAACTTAAATTGTATCATTCATACGTGCACTGTATATCATAGAAGTAGTTAATCCTTACCCATTTCAGATACTTGACAATGATTAACCTGAAACTTTTTTAGTTTTAAAGAATATGTAGAATTTCTTCTCAAGATATTTTTATATTACATTAACCTGGAAGGTACTAGAACAGGTGAGGCAAAGAAAGATTCGATGATTTAGAACCACTATATTTTAGATACCGTCTAGATCCCTTTATTTCTAGCCTTTTGCAGGAGAGCAAAGAGCCACATTGGTATGTTGGAAGTGCTGCCCTGGTTTGCAGCTAGAGTGTTAAGATTATACATTGAACTAGTTGTTCTCTCTAGATCACCTATTGTGATTTCATTTTTACCTTGCTTTTTTTCTTTTTTGCTTTGTCTGTAAATCTAGATTATTTATTCCTTTCCCTAGTAATGTCAGCATCTGTTTCCTTTAGCATCACATTTCTCCATATGTGCGCAAACTTCACTCACCCTCCACCAAAATTCCCTTCCCCCTCCTTGCCTCTGTTTCCCCATTTCCTACAGGAATCTAGGAATTATCCTTGCTGTGCATTGTCAGTTTTCTTTGGTTATTTAAATTTCACAAATGGGTAGTAACATTTGGCAACTACTTCTACTTTATGGCTTTTTTCAGTTAGCATAGTCACCTCAAGATCCATCCATTTTTCTCTCCAAAAGCACCATTTCATATTTTTAATAGTTAAGCAGTGTCCCAGTGAGTACAAATTCCACCATTTAACTAGTCCTCTGTCATTAGGCATTCAACTTGGTTACATGAGATGGCTGTTATCAATAATGCTATTCTTAACATAGAAGTGCATATATTTTTTAGTATTAGTGTTTTCATGTACTTTGGATAAACACAATGCAGTAGTGTTGTTGGATGATAGAGTATTTCTATTTTTATTTTTTAAAGCACTCTCCATACCATTTCCCACCTAAGTGGATGAGAGTTCCTTTTCTCCATATCCTCACCAACATTTGTTATGTCATGTTTTTTTGATAGGCCATTCTCATGGGAGTCAGGTGCTACCTTATTGCAATTTTGACTTACATTTCCCCAGAAATAGGTGATATTGAGCATTTTTTTAATGTGCGTGTAGGCCATTGAATGTCCATATTTGGAGAAATCTGTTTTGTCAAAACAAAAAATCTCTTGTTTTTGTTGAGCTGTACAAGTTCTTTATATATTTTGGAAATTAACCCTTTTGTCAGATGTTTGTTGTGCTGATATCTTCTCCCAGACTGTAGATGGCCATTCTTTTGGTAGAATTTGAAGTATAAAATCTTTTTAGTTTAATGTAGTCCCATTTGTTTATTTTTCCTTTTATTTCCCATACTGTTGGAGGTGCTTCCCTGAATAGTTGTGTCCCCAAATACATCTTTGTAATGGATAGGTAGTAGTGTATCATCTAGGATTTCTTGTAAGTATTTTAGGTTTCAAGTCTTACTATAGCCCATTCTTTAATCCATCTTGAGTTAATTTTTGTGTGTGGAGTTAAATACACATCTAGATTCTTTTTCGGCACATAGGTTGGACAAGTTTCCAGCACTATGATGCTGTCAGCAGCCACTAAAGCACAAGATCAATCTCCTGCCAGGGAGCTGACCCACATGGCGCAGCAGACCTCACTTCTCTCTCCTGTTGCTCCCCTCCGCAGTATGTTTCAGTCAGTCAGCCTGTTCTGCTCCCCAATCTGTCTCTGATGAATCCTCTCACCTCCCCCCACAACCCCCACACTCTGGCCTCTGTCACAGCTTTGTATGCATCTATTTAAAAAAACTTAACTGTCATTTATTAAATATATCTGGTGGATCAGACGTTTTACTTATAATAATGAACAAAAGCAAGTTATTTATTACTGTTCTGTTTCACAACCTATAAAGAAAATAGCCCAACTCCATCCCCTGATTTCTGTTAATACTCTCACCATCTTCCTAGTCATCTAAGATTAAATCTTTAAATTTGTCTTTAACTTCCATCTCTGCCCAACACATTTTCTGAGGCATAGGTCAGAGTCTGCTAGCAGAACAGAAATTACAATGTTCTGTAAAGTGGTCATAGAAATGAAGTCCCCTCATCTTTGCCATATTCTGTTGGTTAGAAACAGGTCACAGATTTTACCCAACTTCGTATTGAGAGGGTATACAAGCCAAGCAACTACCACAGAATGGAGGTGCTTGGCAGGTGTCCTTTTTTTTTTTTTTTTTAAGGATTTATTTACTTATGCATACAGAACTCTGGTATAGGCCAGAGGTGCAGGGGCAGTGAGAGAATTCACCAGAGTCAGAATAGGGAGCAGAATAGGCAGACTAACAAAGAACACTGCTGAGGGGAGCAGCAGACGAGACAGGAGAGGTCTGCCATGCCCTGTGGATCACCTCTGGGGCCAAGGATCAAATTTGCATTGAAGCAGCTATGACTGGCTTGCAGTGCTGCATCTTAACCTGTTGTGCCACCAAGAAGGGCCCTTGGCAGGTTTCTTAACACCTGTCCACCTCATGTTTCTAAGAACCAGTTCTTATTTCTTTTGTTGCCATTTTAATTTGGTCATTGTTTTGTGTCTAGATTATTGCAACAGTGGTCTGCTTGTACTTCTATTTTCTGCTATTTTTCATCTGTTTGACTGATAGTAAATTTTATTACTCTTAAAATACAGCTATTAAACTTTATAGTATTAGTAAATTATGTTCCTCATTGTCTTACTAAGTAAATATAAATGGCCTTCATCTTCACGTTCATTGCTGCTCAAAATGGCCCAAATTTTCTTAATAGTAGATTTTTAGTAATCTTCCACTTGAAACTTAGATGGAAGAATACTACATATTGCTATGTTACATAAACCCTTAGCTTTTCATACTTTGTTATAACTTTGCTCACTTAAAGATTGAGGTCTGATTGTAAGATTATAGGATATTTGCCCTCCTCTCTACCTTTCCACCGTATCAACAGGATTCCTGTGTAATAAAGGATTGCAACCATGAAAGAACCGTGAAACTCAAATCTCTTTCAAAAGAGGAGTTTCTAGGAAAATCCAAAGACAACAGGAAAGACGAAAGGAGTGACACTGGAAGAAATTGAAGACTCATACACCTCTAGCAACAACAAACAGCAAACACAGTATAATCCCACCTAGATAAATAAATTCTTCTTACACTAAAGGCCTGTTGACCTCAGTTATTGTAACCCAATACATCATGTCTGGCTTTCAACTAATTACAGGGCATGCACAAAGGTGAGAAAAAACAGAGTCTGAAGAGACAAAGCAAGCAACAGAACCGGACTCAGGTATGCAGAGATTTTAGAATTACCAGACTGGGAATTAAAATAACCATGATTAATAATGCTAAAGATCTCTAATGGAAAAAGTGGGCAAGATGTAAGAACAGATAGATAAATGAAAGCTGGGATATTGAAAATCTAAACTCAAAAGGAAATGCTAAAAGTCAAAACTGTTCTGACAGAAATGAAGATGACTTTGATCGACTTACCAGTATACTTCTGGTAGACAATAGAGAAAAGAATCATTCCGCCTGAAGATATGTCAGTAGAAACTTCACAAACTGAAATGCAGATAGAAAAGAGAATGAAAAAAAAAAAGATTAAAACACAATATCCAAAAACTGGAACTGTGGGTCAACAATAGAAGTTGTAACCTGCACATAAAGAGATTATCAGAAGGAGAAGAGAAAGAAATAGAAGAAATATTTGAAATAATGGTAGTTGGGGATTTTCCAAATTAATCACAGGTCTCTTCCTCTTTATTGACTTTGATTTTTAATTGTTACTAAAGCAGGGGGAAATAAAAATTGAAGTATTTAAAACTGACATACAGCAGCTGCTAGGTTGACATTTTATAGTTTGATCTTTGAAATTTTGATCAGTTTTTTGTGCTATTAAGTATAAGCTGATAATCTTGTCACCATTTAGTAAAGCATCATCTAAAAAAAGGAAGGGGAAATTCTGTGCTATGACATAGATGAACCTTGAAGGCATTATACTAAGTAAAATAAGCCAGTCACAAAAGGACATTTACTGTGAAGGAGAAAAATAATACTGCATAACTTCATTCACTTCTGGAATTGGTGCTGACACCAGAATGGCAGTTAATGAGAGGGGGAGGAGCAAGAAAGAAATGGTTAGAAGGGACGTCATGATTGGTGATGGATTATGACTGGACATTTAGTGACCGGTATGGCATGATACATATAGTGGCTGAAGTGAGAAATAATACACCTGAAACCAAAATAATGTAACTTTAAAAGGGGATAAAGTTAAAATAAATCCGTGCTTTTACCGTGAGGATGGTCTAATGCCATGAATATGTTTTTTTTTTTTTTTTTTTGAAAAGATTTATTTATTTGTACATACAGAACTGGGGTACAGGCCAGAGACTCAGGGGCAGTGAGAGACTTCACCAGAGACAGAGTGGGGAGCAGAACAGGCAGATCAACGAAGTACACTGCTGAGGGGAGCAGTGGGCGGGCCAGGAGAGGTCTGCCACGCCATGTGGTACCTCCAGGGCAGGCGGGAATCGAACTCATGCGGAAGTAGCTTTAGCTTCTCAGTGCTGTGCTTTAACCCGCTGCGCCACCAGGGAGGGCCACCATGAATATGTTTTTATCTCATAATACAGATGAAGTGGAAATTGAAAAAAATAAAAGATTTTCAGATCCAGAAGCCACCTTTTGTTTCATAACAGCAAATGCAAACAAAAAACACTTAAATTTATAATATAATAGGGATAACAGTATCAGTTGTACTATCACAGACAGACATCACATAACAAGATTAGATTATTTAATGGAGTTCTGAATTTTTTTTGTAGTTATTGTAAAAATGAGTTTTTGTCTTAACAAAAAATACATTCATTTAAAAACTAAGTACTACTCTCCTGTCTTCCCTTTACCCAATTTGAGAATCATTGAATTTGTTAAAATCCTGTCTATCAGGAATCTAAACATCTGTGGTCCAGGTTAGTTTCCAAGTTGCCTGACCCTTCCATTCAGTACTCTTATCAACTAAGCAGTATGTTCTTCCTGACTTTTCTACAGTATTTTTCTTTCCTTGGTTTTTAATCAGTCTGGTTTCTATAACATTGACTGTGAAACAGTTTTCAAATGGCTGCATTTTCTTTCATTTTAACAGAAAAGTAGCAGTTCCGAATCATTAAGTGACAAGGGTTCTGAACTGAAGAAAAGCTTTGATGCCGTGGTATTTGATGTTCTAAAGGTTACACCAGAAGAATATGCGGTAAGCCTCCCACCTCAACTTTCTCCAGTTTTAGCTCATATTTTGCATTAGAAAATGTGGGTACAGCAGAGAAGATGAGTTTAAGAAAAAAAAAGTTCTAGGATGATGGAAGAGAGGGTTAAAGTAGGGAAAGTAAGATGAGCAATAGATACTTCTCAGGCAGTTTCATAAGTTATACTTACAACTTGGTGTAAGTAATATGTACCTTTATGGTAACTGCTTTCATCTCTACCTCTACCATCTCTCCAGGCCAAATATACTTTTTTGACATGTTAGAAATATTTTTACTTTTTTTTAAGTTGAATATGAAGAAGGTGTGGTATAAGTACCAATAGAATGTTACTCAGTGATCAAAAAAGGTAAACTGATACCATTTGTATGGATGGAACTAGAAGGGCTAATGCTAAGTAAAATGAGTCAGAAGAAAGATAAATACTGGACGATGTCAAAACGGATCAGAAAGATACATGCTTAAAAACCAACCCTTGAAAGCTGACTGTACCTCTGAAGTATCCAGAGCGGAAAGGGTTGAAGGAAGAGGATGAGAATAGAGAGAGAAGAGAGCACAATGGACTGGGTGATTTGGTGCCTGGTGTGCTGTGGTAGCAGTAATTGGGGGCTGGGAGGGAGTTCTGTACTTCCAAAATGCCAACAATAGTGCAAGCCAGTGCTACATTTAAAAATAAAAAGTACTCTCTGGACTTAAGCAAATAAAGTATATTGAAAATGAAATTTGAAAGCATTATTGCAATATCATGAAAGATATTTAGGAAAGTGTATTTCTCAATTGATGTATGTCCACTTATGTTCTTTCTCCCATAATTTAAGAGTATATTGATTTCCTGATTTTTGAACCTCTCTTACATTCTAGGAATAAACTCTGCATGGTCATAGTATATATAGTTTTTGGTATGTTGTTGGGTGTTGTTTTCCTCCTCTAGCCATAATGAAATAGGTTAATAACTATCTACACGTCTTAGATTTGAGTTAACCACAAGTGTGTTTCATTATTTCTTATAAATTGAGAAGAAAATATTTTTATTAATGTCACATTTTATTTTACTGTTTGAGGAGATATGATTTAATATCACATCAAAAACACTGCTTCATGTACCTGTAGATCAGATTTTTGCATTTGATTTATTCTGCGACTTTGTCCCAAGTTTTTAAAATAATTTTTTATTTTCTTTACCTCATTTATCTCACAAGAAAATAGCAGTGGCTGTGATGGCTAGAAATAAGCCCTTACAAAATTGAGTATTCAGTTCCAAATATAGTTTTAATTTAGAATGTGTGTCACAAAGAAGGAATTATCATTTTGTTACTTTTGTTTACTTTTTCAGGGTCAGATAACACTAATGGATGTTCCAGTATTTAAAGCCATTCAACCAGATGTGAGTAGTTTTGATAACTTTCTTTTAAATATTTAAAATAGTGATAGTTTAGAATGTCACATTATATTTCGTATTTTTTAAATGTTTAAAGCTTTTAAACAAGACTGTCCCCACCCCATTTCAGATGCCAGCCTTACCTGCATGTTCTTATGTTACCCACAGTTTCTGATTTGACTGCAAATCAGAGGTTCCCATACCCCCTTCTCGAGTTATGTTAATTTGCTAGAATGGCTCACAGAGCTGGGGAACACTTGGTTTTTGCCGTTTTATTAAAGGATACAGATACGCAGTTATATAGAGATACACTGGTTGAGATCTGAGAGGGTCCTCTTGGAGTTGGGTGCATCACCCTCCCAATGTGGATGTGTTCACCACTTGAAACCTCTTTGAACCCCATCTTACTAGGATCTTTATAGAGGCTTTGCCTTGTAGACATCATCAACTGTTATCTTCATATTCAGACCACTACCTTCTTTTTTTTTTTAATTAAATGTATTTATTTATTTTTAAGCAATGTTTGCTTTTTTAGGCGTAGTCCCCATAGAATTTCTACAGCCAGTTCATCCATGCACCATCACCATGGTCCTTTGTATTCTTCCTACCCTTGCCCTGGTCTCTTTCCTTTCCTCTCCCCTGCAGAATGTCTCTGATTTGTAGTTGTCTTTTTGTGGTTGGTTGGTTTAGTTGTGTTTTTTAGTTGTTGTTATTTTTTCCTTTTGGTCCCTTATTTGGTTCCCTGTATTCTTCCTATAAGTGAAACCATCTGATATTTTTCTTTTTCCTTCTGGTTTATTTCACTGAGCATGATATGATCCTTTCTAGCTCCACCCATGTTGCTGAAAATGACACTTATCTTTTTTGATTGCTACCTAGTATTCCATGGTATATATACACCACATCTTCTTGAGAAAATTTTTGCACTGCATAATTGGGCTGTCACAAAGACACACAGAGAACTCACACAACTCAGCAACAAAATAAGTAAACAATGCAGTCAAAAAATGAGCAGAAGTTAAAAGACACTTTTCCAAAGAGGAAATGTAAATGGCCAACGGGCATATGAAAAAATGTCCAACATTTCTTATAATCAGGAAAATGCAAATCACAACTACAGTGAGATAACACCTTACCCCAGTAAGAAGGGCACATATTAAAAAACTAGAACAATAAATGTTGGTGAGGATGTGGAGGAAAGAAGAGCTCTCTTACACTGCTGGTGGGAATGCAAACTGGGCCAACCACTATGGAAAGCTGTATGGAGATTCTTCAGAGTACTAAAAATGGAGCTACCATATGACCCGGCATTTCCACTCCTAGAGATCTACTCTAAGGACAAAAAATATTAGTTCAAAAGGATAGTTGCATGCCTGTGTTTATTACAGCATTATTTATACTAGGCAAAACATCTAAGCAATCCAGACAGCCCACTCCCTTTTTAAGTGAATGGGAGGTGGGACTAAAACGTCTAAGCCTCAAATTATGGATTTGGTCTTCCCAGTGACCAGTCCCTGAGTTGCCTCATTAGAACAAAAGATAATCCTATTTCCCAGGGAATTGCCAGGGTTTAAGAAGGTTTGTGTCTGGACCCTGGTGACAGACCCATCAAGTGTTAGAACAAAGAATGCACTCTTAGTGTTCTTATCACCCAAATTACAAAGGTTTGAGGAATTCTGCCAGAAACTGGGCTCAGAGACCAGTGTATATTTGATATCTCACATATTGTGTGTAGCTGTTAGTAGCCTGTGATTTCTCAAGTAAGTAACAATCTCTTAGTATCTCAGGTTTGTTACTCAGAAAATAAAGGCATGGCCCTAAATGATACCTGAGTCCTTGTCATTTCTATAGTTCTGTGTTTTTCTAACCACCGCCACCATCACACCCCCATACCATTTGGGGCTCTCTGAATAGATTAGCAGTAGAAAAAGAAGAACAATGTTTTCTATAAATAAGACAAGCAGAAAGCTGATTATTTTTTCTCCTTAGGTGTGTGTTTTTTTTTTTTCCTTGTTCCTTTTAAATAAACTGCAATAACTGTATTTCTGTTTCACATGAGATTAGTGCTGTCCAATAGAATTATAATTGAGGTGTTCATGTAAGTTTACATTTTTTAGTAGCCACATTACAAAGTACAAAGAAATAGTTTAAGTTTGATGACTTTACTTAATCTATGACAGCCAAAGTACTATCACTTCAGTTTGTATTTAGTGTAAAATTTATTTACATGTTATGTTCTTTTTTTTCTGTACTAAGCCTTAAAAATCCTGTATATAATTTATAATTATAGCATATCTTTATTTGGAGTAGCCACAGTTCTAGTGCTCAATAATCGTTTGGAGCTAGGGGGCTAGGAACTTAGACACTCATGATCTGGATAATGACTTCAAGTGAATGTGAAATTTCAAAGTCAACCTTAAAATTTCCTTTTTATCTAATTCACACTGATCCCAGTGATTTTTTTTTTAAAGATTTTTATTTATTTATGCATATAGATCTGGGGTAGAGGCCAGAGGTGCAGGGGGTAAGAGGATTCACCAAAGACGGAGTGGGGAACAGAACAGGCAGATCCATGAAGTACACTGCTGAAGGGAGCAGCAGGCGGGTCAGAAGAGGTCTGCTGCACCATGTGGATCACCTCCCAGGGCTGGAGATCGAACTCACACCGAAGTGGCCATGGCTAGCTTGCAGTGCTGCATCCTAACCTGTTGCACCACCAGGGAGGGCCACCAGTAATTTTTTTTTTATATCTTAAGTATCATGTTTATCCATTCTTTTTGTACTCTCAACAATCCAATCCAAAAAACCATCTTATTTCAACTGAGCTACCCTCATATCCTGCATCTACTCTGACCCTGTTTATAGGGTTACCCAGTAACCATGGTAGTAACCATGGTAGTCTTTCCAAATGTTAAATCTGTTCATATGATCCCTCTGCTTAGAATATTTAAGTGACTTCCTGTGGCTCAAAGAGCGTAAAGATAAACTATACTAATATGGTCTACAGTTCTCATCATCGTTTTGTCTTTTCTTCCTTTCTCCACCTCATCTTAGATCCTTCTACTTCTTCCTGGCCTTTTAGGCTCTCCCAGCACTAAGCTTCTGTGCATCCTGTTTAACTCTTAATTACTCATACTTCAGTTCTTAGATCAAATTTGACTTTGTCAAGTGAGATTTCTCATCTCTCCTAGCACTCTCACGTCTTTATTGTCAGTTGCAGTTTTACATTTATGTGTGTGATTCAACAAGAATTGGTACCTAGTGTCGAGTTGCTGGAGATAAGTGGTGAAAAAAAGGACTACAATTTACTCCTTTTGTAAGCCTTACATTTGTAAAGTGAGATCAGATATGTCATGAAAACATAAAATGACCAGAAGAAACAAGGGAAACAGAAAACAGTGGTGGGAGTTGCGGTTTTAGACAGGGGAGGCTTTCCCAAGAAGGTAAAGATGAGAGAAGGAAAAGGAGACGCCCTATAGATGTTTGTAAGGTGAGTGTTCAGGTAGAGAGAGAAGATAGACAGGTGAGTAATAAGGGAGACTTAGGAGAGGTGAGAAATGGAATGATGGCTAGATGGTGAGGAGCCTCAAGGACCATGAATTTGAAAAAGGTAGGTAGCTAGTGGAGGGTTTCAGGCAGAGGAGTAGTATTTTCTGACTTAGGTTTTAATTAACTCTTTCTGACTGCCACCTAGGGGAAGCCACCTGCCATCTGGAGAAGCCAGATGGAGGGAAAGAAGTGATACCAAGGACTGAATTAAGGGGACAGGTGAAAGATGGTGCCTTGGATCAGGGTGGGGGTAGAAGTGAAGCAGGGCCTCTTGGTTATTAAACCCAGCCCCAGTGAAGGGCACCAGGTATTGTTTGCATCCAGCCCCAATGGGGCCAACTCCATCCATGGTTCCTTGAAACCCTCCAGCCCAGGAGCCTGACCTCAGTAGAGGTCCAGTCCAGACAGGGGCACAGCTTTTCCTGTTTCTGTCAGGCTCCAGGATATTGAAAATGGACCAGCTTCATTGGAGCATGACCAGCATCATTCAAACAGCAGCCCCCCCCCCATGTTTAGTTACAAAGCCCAAATACACCCCCACCCCTCCCACTTTGGTTCCTAGTGTTCAGTTATGCAAATAGATTGGGACTGCAAATAGACCAGTCTGAATGGAGCTCTCTTGGATGCCAATCAAATAACAGAACCAATCAGGTTTGAAAGGTGGGCACCCCAGAGAGTATAAAAGCTAGCCTCTAACCAGCTGGAAAGAGGAAGAGGGTTGGAGAATTGAAGAGGTATTTTGAGAGGCTTGTCTGGTGTCTCTCCTGAGAAGACCTGTTGTTGAGCTGTTACACTGATCCCTGTCCTCTGGCACCACCCCCTCCGCCACCTGACACCCAGGGCCGGGACCTGCCTCCACTGTTGCCTGCTGCGTGACACCATTGACTCTGTTAGGTGTCTCTAAAAGAGCTGTTTGCTGCCGGCTTTATGCCCAGCATCTCTAAGAGCTCTAACACTTAAGAGCTCTGACAAACCTCCTACTGGTGCTGTTGCCCTCGAGGCCTCCAGTCCCATGTCCAGTGCTGCCTCGGCTGGCCTTCACAGTGGTGCTGACTGCTGCAGTGCTCCTGTGGAGCCCTCACACATTTGAGACCTTCTACCCAACCTCCCGTCCTTCAAGGCCTTGGCACCATTACTGCTTTATCTGGCCCTGCCTCTCCTTTTCCTCTCGCCCAACTTCTTTGTCTCTGCCCCATCATAAATAAATTCTAGTGTTGCTGAGCCCAAGTCATGTGCACTTTAGCACACAGGTGAGAATTCACCACAGGCCATGTTATTTTGGCTCCCCCCAGCCTTGCATGGTTCCAGAAGAAGCAGGAAGAAGTTGTTAGATACTATAGGTGCAAGAGATGTCAAGGTGATGCCAAGAAGAATGAAGATATTCTGTGAGATGGAAAATTACTACCGCTTTTCTCACAACTTCATGGCCTGTGATTCATATTGAGTATGCAGAATAGTTTGTGAAGAAAGACCAAAGAGCAGATTTTGAGGAAAGAGCAGGGGTTTGTTTATGATAGATTTAGTTTTACATGTCTGTTAGACCTCTGAAAAGAATGTTCAGTTACTATCAAATATTTCCAGTCCAGGCTGGAAATAATAACTGGAAGATGTCGGTGTGGAGTAGAGATAATTAAAAGTGTAGGTGAAATCACCAAGGGAGGAATATAGGTAGAAAAAAGAATGGTCTTATTTAGTGATGAGAAAGGAACTAGCAGAAGAGACAGAAGCAGCAGCCAGTGATTTGGGAGGAAAGCAAGGTTAGTATGCAGTTTGATGAGTCAAGTGAAGGAAGTATTTTTAAGAAGGAAGGGAATGATCAAGTATAAAATACTGTTAATTATGTATTTATTTGACTTTTGTTTGCTGTCTCCACAACCATAGATCCATCTCAAGACTTAGGAAGAAAGTAATGGATGAGTACCTGGAGACCTAATGCAATTTCAGTTGTTACAGTTTTTAACCTTTCATTTTGTGTCAATTACAGATTCACAGGAATTTGCAAAAAGAATAGTACACAAATAATTATAATAGACAAATAGGAAGTTGCTAAAACAGTGTAGAGAGAGTCCCACTTACCCTCATCCAGTTTTCCATAGAAGTTACATCTTACACGGGTATAATACATTATCAAAGCCAGGAAATGTGTTTATGTTTGTGTAGTGATGTGACATTTTGTCATGTTAATTTGTCCAGCCATTTTGGTCAGATACAGAATTATTCCATCACCACCAAGGCCTCTCCTTTGTGTTACCCATTTGTAGTCACTCCCATCCCACTCCTGGAAACCACTAATCTGTTTTCATTTATAGTTGTTTGTTGTCTCAAGAGAAAATATTTTGTGAAGCAGATAGTACTATCTGTTTTTTTTTTAAATATTTGTTTATTTTTGCATACCGAACTGGGGTACAGGCCAGAGGTACAGGGGCAGTGAGGATTCACCAAAGACAGAACAGGCAGATCGACAAAATACACTGCTGAGGGGAGCAGCGGGCGGGTCAGGAGAGGTCTGCCGCGCCATGTGGTCACCTCCGGGGCGGGGATTGAACTCATGCTGAAGTGGCTTTAGCTTCTTAGTGCTGTGCTTTAACCCTCTGCACCACCAGGGAGGGCCCATATTTTTAAGTTGTTGTATATCACATATATGTGTTTCTTAATAAGGTTTGGATGTGGGTTTGATAACTGCCATATTTCTAAACAGCAGTGAGTATAAATTGTTATTTATTTTTTTTAAAGATTTATTTATTCATACAGAACTGGGGTACAGGCTAGAGATGCGGAGGGTGAGAGGATTCACCAGGGACAGAGTGGGGAGCAGAACAGGCAGATCGACAAAGTACACTGCTGAGGGGAGCAGTGGGCGGGTCAGGAGAGGTCTGCCACGCCATGTGGTCACCTCTGGGGCAGGCGGGGATCGAACTCATGCGGAACGGCTTTAGCTTCTTAGTGCAGTGCTTTAACCCGCTGCGCCACCAGGGAGGGCCATAAATTGTTATTTTTGAGATAATTGTGCCAACTGTAATGTGATGTGAAAATGCCTGTCTTAGTGAAAAAGTCACTAATTATATTTTTGCCAAGTCTAGTGTAATCTGTGGCTTACATTTTAATTAAAAGGGGTGTTATTTCAGTTAAAGGTTAATATAAAGTAAAAAAATTAATGCTTTTTCTTTTTCCAATTTCTAAGTACTTGGACCCTTTGAGTTCTGTTGACAGAGCTTGTGAGTTGGAAGAGTGTCAAGACCCCATCCTAATCCTTCCTGCTCAGAATTGTCCGGGGTGGTTGAACTATCAGAGCAAAGAGTGAGGTTCTGGAAAGTTTGATTGGTAACTGAGGAATTGAATGACATGGCAACTAGTGGGCTTCACTGTCTGTTGTGGGGAATTCAGCTTTCATTACCTGTTTTATCTCTTGGAGTACCAATCTTTTCAGAGAAGAATTTCTAGTCTGCCTATGGAATATGTCTAATTACCTATACACAGTTTTGCTTTGTTATATTCCACTAGTAAAATTTAATTTTGTGATTTAGCTAAATTATTATAATATTTAATACATTCCTATTAAAACAATACTCAGAAAGGACATAACTGTCATTTTTTTAATGTTCTGTTACCTTTAATGTAACAAGAAAACTTAGCTATTTATTGAATTCATATTTATTTTCACCTTAATTTTCTAGGAACTTTCAAGTTGTGGATGGAATAAAAAAGAAAAATACAGTTCTGCACCAAATGCAGTTGCCTTTACAAGAAGATTTAATCATGTGAGTTGAACATAAAATTTTGGTTGTTTCTGAAATTCAGTTCCTTAAGATACAGTTTTTCACTAAGGAATGTGCTATTTTTTAATTTCTACTCTTAACGTTTTAGTCATTATCTCTTCAGAGATTGACTTGCTGCATGATCTGTTTTTTTTCTCTTTGTAATACCTACTGGAAATTTGTTACAACTAGAAATTCTTTCCTATCGCCTCTTACACTTGTATTTTATAGGCATTCCTTTGTTTTCCATTCTGTATGATTTCCTCATATTTTTATTTTAGTTCACTAATTCTCCTCAGATATGCTTTTTCTTAATTTTAAAATGTATTTTAAATTTTTCATATTTTTTTAACTTCTTAAATCACTTAACATTCTATTTTATAGCTTCTGTGTTATTATCTGAAGTGCTCAGGGCACTAATTCTGTTGTTTTTTTGGTCTTCTGTTGTGTTTCTTAAGAGTTTTGTAACCTTGGATTGAAGCTCATATCTGTTTAAACTTTGTCTGTGGGTATTTTTGCTGCTCCGTAGATTGAGGATATAGTAATCCCTACATAGTTTTGTAACAGAAGGGCCTCTCTGGTGGCACAGGGACTAAAGCTTCAGCCATCAAACTATCTCTCGCCATTGCAGTATGAGTTTGATCCCCAGCCTGCGAGGTGACCCACGTGGGCCCAGCAGACCTCTCCTGTCTTACTCCTGCTCCCCTCAGCAATATATCACAGTAGATCAGCCTGTTTTTCTCTCCACTCTCCCCACTTCTTCTAAACAAAAATAAATAAATTTTAAAAACAAACTTTGCCACACAGAACTGTGGGCATTCTCCAGCCAAAACATTTAACATAAAAATAAAAATGGCAGAAACAAACAAAATGTTCAGTGTCATTTAATTTTAAAAAAAAATTGTTAAGGAAAAAAATTCCAGTCCACTCTGAATAAGTTTCTGAGGACCTGCTTTTCATACTGTTTTGCTTAAAGTTACTACTTCCAAGAACCTGTCAATGAAGTTATGTTACAGTGTAAAATGATTTAAGCTTTCATGTTCATTGAAGAAATATTAAATTCCTGCTTTGTTCTGGACACTACTCTTGATGTTTGGGATTTATTAGGGAATAAAAAAAGCAAAGCATACATTCATGGGCCTTTTCCTTAATTTTAACTTCTTTTTTTCCCCATTTTTAGAAGCTTTGTCATTTGCAAATCTACCTGATCTTTTTTTTTTAAACCCTGTCACTTCTCATTTTAAACTATTTGTTGTAAAGTAAAATATGAATACAAAAATACTTCAAAAATAATAGATGGTTTAATGAGTTAATACAAGCAGATTATCTTTGTTATCTTCATCACTCAATTAAAAAAATGAAATTTTATACGTAACCTAGAAAACCTTTCCTTGTGCCTGGTCAGCACCTTTGTTCTTCCAAGGGTGACCATTTTCCTGGCTTTTGTATAGGTCTTTGAATAATGTTGCTTTGTTCAATGTAGTTTCATTATAATGTTTATGAGGGGGAAAATTGATTCTTGGTGAAGGCTTGTGTCTGTGTGGAGTTAGCACACTCATGGGTTTCCCCTAGTGCTCTGGTTTCCTCACATACCCCAAAGATGAGCACTGGTGTTTCTCAGTTGTCCCCGTTGGAGTGAGTGGGTGTATGTGAGTGTAATTTGTAGGAAGCGCGTCCTGTTGGGCACTGGTCCTACTTAGCTTGTACCCTGAACTTCCAGAATAGTCTCTGGTCCCTGTGACTCTCAACTGGAATAAGTGAGTTGGAAAATTGCTTGCAGGCATGAACATGGCAATTTAATATTAGAACTATTTTTGAGTTGTTAGAAGATTGGTGATGTTTTGTGATCAGAAATAAGCCTCCGTAACTTAACTCTGACACATATTAATTCACCTAACCTATCAACATTGTTACATGAAGACACAGTTTACTCACATTCTTGTACTTGCTTCTTTCTGTAGTTTTAGATGTGGATGTCTAGATACTATTGTTTGGCCATGCTAATTTTTTAAATGTGTTAAATATTTAAGATTTATAATTTCTTCCTTCATCCATTCACCTAGAAGTAACCCAAACATTTGACCCATACAATCTCCCATGCTCTAAATCATTTAGTACCGTTTAGTATTTTCTGTGTTTTCTGAAAATTAGTTGCTGATTCCAAATCTTTGATCAAGTTCATGCTGTTAGCAAGGACATTGGGTATGTTGTATTTTTCCATCAGAAGGCAAATAATACCTGGTCTTCTTTGTCATAATGTCAGCAGCTGTAAGTGGATCCATCAATCAAGTTTATTTGAAGGTGAATTCTCTTTTTATTTTTGCTTCTTTGAATATTTTTTTTTATTAAAGATTT